CCTGACTGTGAATTCTGAAGATCAGGAAACCTTCTCTTTGAAACCTATAAGTGTTTCCAATAAACTATTAATAACTTGGTTTCAAATTGTAATGTTGCCGTATCAAATCACTATCTTATCAAGTAGATATAGATGCATATTTCAATGAGACAATAACTTATTGTTTCATATGATCATTAGTTAATATAATACCGAGAAAATTTTCAAAAAAAAAAAAAGAAGAGAAAAACTAAAGACAACAAAAATAGAACACTTAAAACGCAGTTCATATACCTCAAACGACCATGGACAGCTTCAGGTGCATGCACAACTTGAGCCCCATGCGCATATCCCAAAGCCTGTTTAATCATTTGAAAATCAAGTACACTCTTTAGCTCCTACAGATAAATCTACAAAGACATTACTAGAGGCTTGTACCTACACATCAAGAGTTGTATATCTATGATTTTTTTCCTGGGAACGGGTGGGTGCTTACACAAGATCTATTAACCACACTATCTGAAGAAAAGCACCCAGGGTTATCTCTAACAATGAATTAATCAGATATAAGATAGGTATAAACACATGATAGATTATTGATAGCAAGACTGAAGAAAAATTTAGCGGAAGTAAAAATAGAGCAATGCGTATGAACAGACACAAGAAACGTAGAAACTACGTTGCGGGTACTAGCTTGGTAAACTGAAGAGAATTGACATAGATATGCAAGCAAAAAATATTCACAGAAATTTCAATGAACAACTGCTCTGAAATGAATTTGAAAGCAAGATGTCCTGCATCATTTAATCATACATAAGCAACACGGTGCAAAAGAGTACCTTATTTTGTACACCCACCAGTCGAAGAAGTGAAGGAGCAGATACAGAAACATGCATCTATATCTAAACCCAGAAGCCAGACTTCTATGAGGGTTGTCAATCCACTTATCGATCTAGTACTTGATTTGTTGGGAAAAGAAGGGAAATATAACATGTTTTTGGCAATATATTACTTAAAAATGTATCTTTTGCAGAAAAAACACCATTATCACATGTGACATGTCAATAATAATATCTAGCTGACAACATGCTGCAATTGCCACCATAACTAATATCACGTTGTTAGGCCTTTAGCTATAAATAACACCTTAAAGTTATAGACAGTGTTTTAAAAGGCGTTTTCGGGGCGAGGCGCACCAAAAATGCCCCCAGGCGCACCAAAAATGCCCCCGGACGATGGTGTGGAGCGAAAGTCTCAAGAGGCGTACGCCCAGCAATTCGGGGCGTACGCCAGGGCGTTTGAGGCGCGTTTTTGTAGTGAGGCGTAAGCCTCAGAAAGTTTTTCAAACTAAAACAAAATTTGTTAAATAAGTTCTTCATATAATACCCAAATTCTAAAAAGTCAACTTGTAATTACTCAAAAGGAATTGAAATATTAAATTTAAAAGTCATGACCCTTTTTATTGATAGAAGCCCTAATTTATGGTCTTATTTTCAATTCTTTATCTTGTCCGCTAGTCTGTTACTATCTCCCAAAAGCAACAAGTAGTCAATTTTTTTCATTTTTTTTGCAAATACAAAGAGAACTCCATTCTCCTTCATAACACCAAGTTCAAAGTTAAAATTACAGGTTAGTCATCTTCTTTTATTCCTCAAAAAACTTTATTCTTTTCAACTCAAGTTACTTGTGCTTGTAAGTAGCGTATAATTGATTGTTTTGACTAGTCATTTGTGCGGATAGAGAACATCTATATATATTTTTCATATATTTATAGCTTTAAGTAATTTTTATGCAATTTTATCTATTTATAAATATATATTGTAATTATATTATTTTATGAAATATTAAAAATTTAAATACGCCCACGCCTTTTAAAACACTGGTTATAGACAAACACTATTAGCCAGTTGGTGAAGAAATTTGGAATAACAGGAAAGAAGCAAGGATATTTGAAGATCAATTGAATATATTGTGTAATGACATAAAAAATAGGCATAATAGATAGGCCCCCTAAACTTGCCACTTTTTTTCATTTTGACACCTAAACTAAGAGTAGTACCTATTGAACACTTTTTTCCTATTGAACACTTGAAGTGAAGATAAATTGTGTCAACTAGACACACCGCTGGCATGGCACCGTCAGTGTAATACACCACTTTTGAAAGCGTGAGAAGAATATTTTTTTTTCAATGTCTTTTCTGCAATCTCCTTCGTAATATGTCGCCACCATCTCCACCACTATAGCTGCTGCTTCACCACAACCACCATGCCTCCACCACCGTGCAAACCACCACAAAAAAACACCCCTACCCCTAAATTTCCACCACCACCGCGCCTCCACAACTGCACAACCCACCACCTCTTGTCCCTCCTTAAATCCATCCACCTCAGATCCAGACAGAAAAGGCTTCACGCTGCTCAACACTCACTCTCCAGGACCTTACCAAATCTCTCTATATGTTTTAAAATTTTAAAATATAAGTCATGAAACTTTTAATAGAACTTCGTGTACCTATTGAAAGCTGCTTCTAAGACATTAATGCCCATTTTTGCCATCTGATTTTTTTCTTTCTTTTTTTTTTTTTCCTTTTCTGGTTTTCACCTCTTCAATTCTCACCCGATTTCCATTTCTTAAAGAGTTAACAGAAAATAACTGAACTTTAAGATCAATAACTTATACGTGAATCTACACTAGACTAATGAAACGCAACCCTACATCATTCCATGGAAGGGGTTGGTGGGTTGATTAGGTTGATTTGTTGTGTTAAGAATTTCGATTGAAGCCGCATTGGTCAGGAATCCACCGTGGCACCTCTCTATTACTTACGGTGCTTCGTGGCTCATGCTCTGTACAGAAAAGTTGCAATTTAGGGCGCAGCTGGAGGGATCGAACACCACCACCATCTCTTTCTCAAATTCGGCCACCGCCCTCCACCACCAACTTCTCTTCCCTTCAGCCACCTCTTTTTTTTTTTGCCTTTTTTCTTTTGCAGATATAGACTTTATTTTCATACGTGTTTCTCTCTGTTTGGTTTATAAGTATTTTTCTTATTGGTATTGTTTGCCACATTAAAGCGAGTAGTTGTCACGCACCTAGATTAGTTTGGAACTGTCAAATATGTGTCTAATTGACACAATTTGTCTTCACTTCATATGTTCAATAGGTACTACCTTTAGTTTAGGTGTCAAAATGAGAGAAACAATGGCAAGTTTAGGGGGCCACCTACGTGTTCTGCCTAAAAAATATTATGCAACCATGGCCAATCCTCATATTGTAAGATACTTCTATATTCCGTACATAGTGTTTCTTTCTCCACGTAACAACCATAGGTAATCCTTGTATTTTGTAAGATACTTTCTATATTCCGTACATACTGTTGCTTTCTCCACGTAACACATAAGTTGAAAAGATTTCCGAAATACCATCTCCCATAAATTTATTTCCTGACAACAATTAATTATCAAGTACTTAAAATTTCCTATCTCATATAGAAGAACAGGAATTCAGCACTGAAATCGACCAAAATCACATTTTGGTAAAGGTTTGACAAGTACCAAAGGAGAGAACAGAACAGCAAGACAGGCTACACAAGGTTGCAGGTACAAACTTGCAGATCCCATGTAAAATTGTATGCTAAAGAATGAACAAAAATATTACAGACAGATATAAATGGATGCATTACCTGGTGACCAAGGCAGACGCCTAGTATAGGGATATCAATGCATTCAAGGAGTAGCCTCAGGCAAATTCCTGAAACATAGGTGTAAGGCGTGAAAGGCTACTCCGAAAAACCATAACAAGCAAGTAAAGTTGAAGCTAAACGACAATTAGATAGTCAACACCCTCCTGTATGGTAGAATACCAACATATTGAAAGTTTTCCAAGTTAATAGCATCAACCTCTAACACTGAGCAAAACTACGCACACTCTTGTATGTTATCCTCGTCTAGGACAGATAAAGGAGCCGTGTTGGGAAGTCATGATTTAGAATGAATTTTTTTAAAATAAATAAATAAAAAAACAGTATAACACACTTAAAATCAGGATTGCTAAGGTGAGGGTGAATTATCAATATGCTGATTCGAACAAGTTAATACATTTTAGTACACGTTAATAAGAAGCTCTATGTTGTCCTAGACAAGGAAAGAGGAAAGTAGATCACATGGATTTCATAAGTCCAAGTCAAACCTATATCTGCTGGACATGTTGGAGAACCAGGACCAGGTGATATCACAATATTGTCAAATGCCCTTTCTTCATACAAGTGGTAATAAACTTCTTTCCACGTCCACTCATCATTCCGAATCACCACCGGAGGCACTGGCACAGTAAGTAAAAAATAAAAGATGTGACACATCACAAACTCATGTCTATCCACTAAAATTAAGGAAAAGACTGGGAAACTGCATATTCAAAGATGACTTTGTCCTAGATGATTAATACAAATGACTACCCAATCAAAATTGCCAAAAATACTATAGAAGATGAAGGTATCTAATACTTAGCATGTAATTTGTCCTGATAACTGCACATTGGCAACGGGCATCAATTTATCAAATTTGTTACAATTTAGAAGTATCCATATATCAGGAAAACATATCAGAAAAAAGAGACTTAAATCTTAATTTGAGAATCCAAAAAGTTGTTTTTTACTTCTTTTATTTTTCACAGGAGAATTCAAATACCTGAATAGAGTAAAAACTGGACACCTACAGATAATTCAACATTTGACAAGCACATATTTACTATTACTATGTAAGTAAAATCCATACCCTCATCTTTCTAAGCATTCATGTTTTTTTTTAGATAAGTAAGAGTGTTTCATGTTATTCTCATCTTATCATCCTAAATTTCCCATTTTACGCCTTACAAATAAATAGCCCTCACCAATTAAGAAGGCAATGAAATTCCAATTCATAATTTCAACATGAATAGCTCCCAAAAATTATACTCTTTAGGTGTAAAGCATATAGATCAATAAAAAATGAATAACAGAATCAGAAGTCACGCTTTCTCACTTTCTCTATAAAGAAAAGGGAAAAATATAAGAGAAAAGAGAGGAGAGAGAGAGAGATGAGGAACTTTCTTTCTTAAAGTTCTGAAAAGATAAAAGTGACCATTTTCTTCCATGTTGTAAGAAAAACGACAGGCCCTAAATGTTCAAGCGGGACCCAAATTGAGGCCTATCATAGATAGCCAGAGGGAGGCTTAGCAACTTAAAGGTATAAAAGGGAAGGAAAATTTTCAAATCCTACCTTTGCTACACGAAAGTTATTTATGCAATAAATACAAATTGTATTCACATGAAGGGAATTATACGAGTGGCTCCTTTTTAAAATTTTCTATTTCTTTACTTTATTTAATTAGGGAACAAACTGCTCAAAGGAGCAGGAATAATGTAAAATGCTGCTTGATTTGCTGAACAGACGAAGAAATAACATGCCACCTACAGCTTCAAGCTGACATTACTATAATATTTGTTGTCACATTTGCTAAAACTCTATAGATAGTGGACAAGACCTTCGACACAAAAGAGATCTACTCCTTGGATAGTTTTCTTCAAAAAGAAAAAGAAAAAAAAAGCATTGTATCTCTGGGGATAGCTAGTCATTGTATCTCTGGGGATAGCTAGTTTCTGCATAAGCACAATGCTAATGATATGGTCTTTTTTTTTGGGGGGGGGGGGGGGGGGG